AGGGAGCTGGGCTGGAGAGGAGGCCGAGGCCAGGGCACAAAGCTCCAGACGGGGTAGGATGGGAGGGGTGCTCTGGGCCATGGCAAAGAGCACTGGCCTGGGAGTCCAGCCCCGGCACCACCACCGCCACCGCCACCTGTGGGGCCTTGCTGAGCTCCCTTCTCCCTCACTCTCTGGGGACCTCTGTTGGCCCTTCTGAGCAATGGGGAGTTGCAACAGTTAGCGCTGTTACATGCTCTTATGTGTGTTTAGAAGTCTCCTTTACTTCCTAAAAAAACTTTACCAAACCCGTACATCAAAGTGATAAAGGCATGTTTAAATTCCCAGGCGGTTTAGATCTCCATGATTGTAGGAACTCCTGATTCCTCCCTGCCGTGGGGCCAGCAACAGGGGCAGCCCCTTCGGTGTGAGCTCGCTGTGGTCACACAGGGCCCTGTGCTCCGAGGGGCCCTGTACTTGGTTTAAGTCTCCATTATTGGAGCTGGGAGAGTAGGGTGGTAACCAGTCAGGGTCAAGGTCTATATCCTGCCTCTCCTAGGAGGAGCAGCCAAGTGTGGAGGGTCAGAGGAGATTGGTAGGAAGTAGGTTCCCAGGCTGACCAGAAGGCTTTGGTGCCTGCTCAGCCCTGTTCTTGGCTTGCTATGTGACGCCGAGCTTATCACTTAACCTCTCTGAGCTTTGGTGTATTCCCCCAGCTGGTGTCTCTTCCAGCTCTGATGCTTCTCTTGTCCTCAGGCATTGGTTCTCAAACTTCATCGTGCATCAGAGTAACTAACCTGCAGGGCTCCCTTCGACACAGACTGCTGGGCGCGCCCACACAGTTTCTGCTTCTGTAGGTCTGCAGTGAGGCCTAAGAATTTCCATTTCTTTTTCTGTTTGTGTGTTTCTTCTTTGTTTGTTTTTTAAATTTCCATTTTTTAAAGATTTTATTTATTTGTTTTTAGAGAGGGGGAAGGGAGGAGAAAAGAGAGGGAGAGAAACTTTGATGTGAGTGAGAGACATCCATCCATTACCTCCTGGACACTCCCCAACTGTGGAGTGGGCTCGCAACCCAGGCATGAGGCCTGACCAGGAATGGATCCAGGGATGTTTGCTTTGCTGAGTGATGCCAAGCCAACTGAGCACACTAGTCAGGGCCTAATTTCCTTTTCTTAAAAAATATTTTACTTATTTATTTTTAGACAGAGGGGGAGGGAGGGAGAAAGAGAGGGAGAGAAACATCAAAGTGTGATTGCCTCTCCAACGCCCCCTACTGGGGACCTGGCCTGCAACCCAGGCCTGTGCCCTGACTGGGAATCGAATGAGCCACCCTTTGGTTCACAGGCTGGCATTCAATCCACTGAGCCACATCAGTCAGGGTAATTTCCATTTCTAACAAGTTCCCCGGGGTTGGTGATGCTAATCACCTGGGGTCCATACTTTGAGAAGCACTATTTTAAATCTTCTTGGGTACCTGTCAGATTATTTCTCTTTAGGTCTCAGTTTTCTCAGTGGTAAAAGTGGATGCTTACGTGCATGTGTGTGCCGATGTGTGAATTCACCCGTGAAATGTGTAATCACAGTTCTACCTGCTGATGATACTACCCACTAGTCACTTAATCCATAGGAGGACATCTGTAGCTTCCAATCCTGACCCCAAGCCAGAACAAATCAGACTCTGGGTTGTGGGCTGAGCTCAGCACCTTACAAAACCTTCCTAGGTGATTTCAACGGACAGACAAGGGCAGGACCTCCCTGCCCTGTGGAACCAAGGCTCCAGGTGTGAAGTGGCTTACTCAGGTCACTAAGGAGAACAGAGGCTCAGGGAGGAGTCATCTTTTCTGGGTCACTGTTTGCAAGCTCTCAGAAGGTGCCTCAGAGCTGGGAAGAATGGAGCGGCCCCAAGATGCCTGTCGAGCAAGTGACAGTCCAGCCCGCCAGCCCTGGTGCTCCCCCCAGGAAGTCTGGCTGGGGTGGGCTATACTCCTTTGACTAGGGCAGCCACGGGGCTCTTCAGGACCCAGGGCTTTGGACAGCGAGCTAAATGGGGAAGAGAGAGATGAGGCTAAGATGGGTCTTGTTCTAGGTGTGGGAGGCAAACTGCAAGGGGTGGGTGGGTGGGGGGTGCGCTCCAGGACCTGCTAATCTGTGGAAGGCCTCCCAGAGCCCACAGCAGCCATGGGGAGGCCAAGCTCCTGGACCACACTGTGACCAGCTGGGACCAGGGCTAAAGATCTCATGTGAAAAGCTTTATTTTTTCTTTCTTTCTGATCTGGACTCACCTAGAATCTTCTGATCACCTTGTTAATGAGACGAGAGCTTATGCAAAAAGCAAGCTGGAGAGAGCCTCCCTTCTCCCTCCCCAGGAAAGAAGGCAGCCATGGCATCTAAAGGCATGGGTCAGCCTCCCTACCTCACATGGTGGACACCCACCCCCATGAACCAGGCCTTAGGAAGGACCCAATCCTGTAAGCTGGGAAGCCCGGACCCTATGCTGTGCTCCAGAGAAGCAAGGCAAGTCCCCCACAACCACAAATTGGATTGCATCAGAGGACCAAAGGAAGCCACATAGTCTATGGACGATACAAAGTGAGAAGAGTGAGCAGTATTGGCAGAGGTAGAATGACCCCTTCAGCGAGCAAGGAAGGGGCTAAGAGTGTGCTGGGCCTGACCTGGAGGAAAGCAGGACCAGGCCGTTTGCATGCCCTGTCTGAAGACTAACATGGGAACCTACTTCTCTCCCAGTTTGGCTACTTAGGGACCACGAAGCCAGAAAAAAGGTGAGGGATCCTGGAAAGATCTTAGGGGTCCCACATCCCGGTCTGACCCTCCTCATAACTGCTATCGGGGGCCCCGATGTGCAAGGCCAGCTTGATCAAGAGCCCACTGGGCAACATCTGGCCTAAGAAACAGGATTGCGCACATGCCCATTGCTTCTTCCTTCTCTTGAGGCTGAGTGCGCAAGCAGCGGCGGCATCCGGGCTGCCGCCTTACAAGGGTCCGTGGCTGCGCCCAAGGGTCCCGCGGGCCACCAGAGGCCCACAGCTACCACAGGCCTCATGGCCACACTGCCATTCATTGCTCAGGGGAGCTGGGGTGAGGACATCCCTCCAGGCCTCTGGACCCCTCTGTGACTTTGGCCTGGTCTCTCTCCCTTAGTACTCCCTCCTCCTTCGATCACTAGGCACCCCAGCCTCGTGTCCCCACAAGAGCACCGACCAGGGTGTCATGGGGGCCCAAATCACAGGACACTTCCCGAAGACAGAGGGAGCAGAGAGGAGGAGGATGCTGGCCTGGTGTCATGTCAGGGACAGTGGCACAGCCAGAAGAGCGGGCCAAGAAGAAGGGGCGAAGTGCAGGAGGCTCCGAGGGCCCGAGTAGCCGGATGCAGGAGCCGCGTGACTCCTGGGGCTCGCAGGGCTGCGGGGAGGGCGCCGGGGGCCGCAGGACGCCCGGCCCTGGGCCAGCCTGTGGGGCGTGGGCTCCTGAAGGTGGGGCGTGAAATGGCCACATCAGGAGGCAGAAGAAGCCCCTAGGCAATGGCGTGGCAAGCGGACTGTGGTCCGAGGAGAGCCTGGAACCTGGAGAAGGTGGAGTCGAGGCCGTGGCAGCATTAGGAGGAGGGAAGGTGGTGGCAGGAGCCAGGGCAGGGGCGGTGCCGGAGGTCCGAGGGGCTGTCGTGCAGCCGGCAGCCAGCAAACAGCAGGCCAGGCGGCCTGGGGACAGCGAGGGCTAATCCCGGAACCTTTTTTTTTTTAAAGATTTTATTTATTATTTATTTTTAGAGAAAGGGGACGGGAGGGAGAAAGAGAGTGAGAGAAATATCAATGTGTGGTTGCCTCTCATGTGCTACCCACAGGGGCTCCCGCACACAATCCAAGCATGCTCCCTGGCCAGGGATCCAACAAGCGACCCTTTGGTTTGCAGGACACACTCAGTGCACTGAGCCACGCCAGGCAGGACAAATCCCAGAAGCCTTGAAGTCAGAGAACAGACCAGCTGTGGTCTGCCCAAGATAACTGAGGGCCTGAGAGAGTGTGTCCCTTGAGAGACGTGACACCCAGGAAGAGAAGCTGACCGGGAAGGCGCTCTGCAGGCCCTCCAGGCTAAGGGACAGGTCGTGGGAGGAGACCCAGAGGGAGCTACAGGGGAGGCAGGAGGGAAACCAGGTTGGCGGCCTCTGGGGATGATGGGGCGGGGAAAGTTTGGGAGGACAGGGGGCCCCCTTCACCTGAGGAGATAAAGACCAGGCTTGAGAGTAGCCACAGGCCTCGGTGAGGCCTGGCCAGTAGGTGGTGCCCTGCATGTGACAGCAAAGGAGCGGGTCAGTGAGGTTGGGGATGGCCCTTCCTCGGCCTCGCTGGGGAGGAGCCAGGGCAACAGGCCACATCTGGTGGTGGCTGGGGACATTTACAGACCAGAAAGTAGTAGAGAAGACTCTAGGATAGGGACAGTGGCCCCGAGTCCCTGAACTGACCGAGGGCTGAGGCTAGAGCAGGGTGAAGAGGCCTTGGAGCCTCCCCTGGACAGGCTGGGCGGGTGAGGCTGCGGACGGAGCGGTTACTGTTATTTCCTCGTCCAGCTTGACCTGAGGGTCCTCTGGGTGCAGGGCAGGGCCTTGTATGAGGACTCAGGGGTGAACACGTGGCAAGACCCCTATTCCTGAGGCGGCCACACTGGGGAGAGGGACACAGGATGGGCGACTTGCTCCTTCCTCTCTTCCGGACCTCTCACCTCTCTGGAGCAACCCTGGCTGAAACTGCTCGAGGGGCCTGGAGCGACCAGGATGCTGGCAAGGAGATGGAGAAACCCTTTCTTCATGGCGCACACGGACCCGGCCAAGCCCCCCGTCCAGCGAGCCCCGTGAGGCAACAGTGGGGTTGAGGCAAGCTCCCGCCCAGCCCAGCACGGGCAGGAGGCTGGTGATGGGGTGGGGCAGGAAGCCTCCTGGTCGGGCCATTGCAACAGTCTTGGGCATAAAGGAGGGTGGCGCAGGCTGGGAGGAGGCAGACTCGGGGACCATGGAGGCCCAGAGGGACGGCCGCTCCTGGGCGCGCTGGTCAATGATGCTCCTGCTGCTGGGCCTGGCGACGCCGCCAGCCACTGCCCAGGCCCTCAGCTACAACGAGGCCGTGCTCCGTGCCGTGGAGGCCTTCAACCAGCGGTCCTCGGAGGCTAGTCTCTACCGCCTCCTGCAGCTGGACTCGCAGCCGCCCAGTGCAGTGAGTGGGGCAGGGCACTCGGGAGGGAGGCTCTGTGCCAGCCAGGGGCCACGCTGCCACCCTGTGTGCTCACGCAAGGCCTGGGATCCGGAAGGCACTCCTTTCTGTCAGTGGAACACCACCTCTTCCAGGAGACCTTCCCATTGCTGTGTCCTTTCCCAGAGGACAGCCTCCTGCCTTAAATCCATGCTGTGCAAGAGGTACCCCCTCCACTCCTGCATTGTGGCCTCAGGGCCTTCTGGGAGTCCCAGGAACAGGAGTGGGGCCACTGGGTCTGGGACGTGACTTCCCTGCTTCCAGTTGCCTCTGCTCCTGCTCGTCTCTCACACAGGGAAGGGCCCAGCTGGGCGCTGAGGTTCCCGTGACTCTGTCATTCCTGCAGGAGTCCCCTGACGTCCCTCGGGGCCCAGGGATTGTCCGAGGTCCGCCCTGCGCTCTGTGTGCCAGGCGGGGGCAGGGATGGGCCATGCCCTGCTCCCCTGTGCCCTGCACCCCACCCAGTGCAAGGACACAGTCAGGGCTTGTGAAATGAGGGACTCAGAAGACAGGACGAAGAAGCCTGGCAGGTACCCAGTCCAGTCTCCCCACTGTCTCTTCCGTCAGGACGAGGACCCAAACAGCCCGAAGCCTGTGAGCTTCACGGTGAAGGAGACTGTGTGCCCCAGGAGGACGCAGCTGCCGCCCGAGCAGTGTGCCTTCCGGGAGAACGGGGTGAGGCTGGGGCCCAGGGCCGACGGGGCCTCCCCTGACGCTGATCCATAGGCGTCCATGGAACCGTTCCCGTCACTGGGGTGAGGCTGGACGGTTTAAGCCCAGAGATCCCAGTTTGACCTCAGGCCTCGTCTTTCCAGCTAGTGAAACAGTGTACGGGGACCGTCACCCTGGACCAGGCCAATGGCTTCTTTGACATCAACTGTGTGGACGTAAGTGGCCCCTTCCCAGCTGTTGGGGCCCGCGGGCGGGGGTGCATGGAGCTTCCTGTGGACCAGTTCACCGTTGCCCCATCCAGGGCAGAGAGAAACCCCTCATGCTCTGGGCTCCTCCCTCAGCCTGAGCCCCAGGTCCCTGGACTGGCTCTGCAAGGCCCCGGAGCAGCGGTTGTCAAAGGGCGGTTTTCCCCTTGGAATGTGTTATAAATGCCTGTTCTTAGGCTCTGTTCAGACCTGCTGCCTCCCAGTCTGGGGTGGGGCCCAGCACTTTGTATTTCGGCAGCCTTCCCGTAGAGCCTGACCCCTGCGGACGTCGGAGAGCCAGGGGCTCCAAGTGATGGGTGGTCATCCCATGCTCTGCCCTGCATTGCTGGGACAGGCTGTGTGACCTTGGGAAACCACTAGCTACACGGGTCCTCCACTTCCTCTCTGCTTATGGGTGTCAGGACTCAACCACATGCTCTGAAGGTCCTGGCCAGAGAGTGAAATGTAGCGATAAGGGTCCTGGGGTGGGCCAGGAAGGGCGTGTCTAGTTAGAAAGAGATTTTGACTTTGGGTCCAGCCCTCACAAGAAAAAACTTTCTTCCTGGTGCACAGGTGCAGAATGTCATACTCAACAGACTACGCAATCGGTTCAAAAACATTGTAGAAAGGATTAAGAATATTGGCAGAAGAATCAAAGATTTTCTTTCGAATCTTGTCCCCAGGGGAGAGTCTTAAGGGTCGGTTTGCTCTGGCTCTAGCTTCTGGACACTGAGAAATAAATTCTCGTGAAAACAAGTGTCTCCAAGCTTCAATTACACTTGTCTTGCCGTCCCCTCTTATTGCTTCAGGTTCTGGGCGGTCCTGTGTGTTTGCGTGCGAGCCGTGTGCGCCTGTGCGGCAAAGGTCAGGCCTGGGTGCGGCACGTGATCCCTGCCAGACGGTGTGCAGGGAGGCAGCAGGGCCAAGGGGTCCAGGACAGTGTCTCCACTTCAGGGTTGCCCCCCGCCCGCCCACCCTCTGCTTTGCTCGTTGAGCACCTAGTAGAGACTTAAGGGGATCTACTCTGAGTGCAACCTGCTAGGGATGCTGCTGAGCTGTCTGTGCTCCTGAGGTGGTGACCGTGAAGGGAGGGGCCAGGCATTGTGTTAAACACGCACGGAGCAGTTCACACTCACTCTTGGCTGGCTTCGTTTTAAGGTCAGCCGGTTCCAGTGCCCATGAAGCTCCAAGACCCCTTAAAAATCTCCCCTCTGCTAATCCCTCCACACCGAGGGGCAGCCATCAAGGTCGCCCGCTGCGATCAGCTCTTCACCTGGGTGGTGAGGGACCAGGTGCTGGAGATAAAGGTCTGCCTTTCCCCAGTGGGTGAGCTTCTCGGACTTGCATGTGCTGTTTCTGGGGAAGGAATTGCCGTCTATTGCTCAAGGATGGAGATGAGACTCAGTTAAGGCCTCCAGTCTAGTTGCAGTAGAGTGAGTTTTCCCCCGGGAACGCGCTTCCGTGGAGTCGTGTGGAGACTGTGGCTGAGCCCAATGGCCTGGCTCTGTGACCTGAGTGCTCCAAGGGGGGCGTGTGCTCCCCCAGGCACAGCCCGGGAGGGCAGCCTCAGACATTGTTAATCTTGCTTCCCAGAAGCTCTTGTCCACATTCTCTTATTTAGAAAAAAAAAAAAATTGATTGATTGACTGATTGATAGAACGGACAGAGGGAGATAGAGAAGGAGAGAAACAACCAACCATGTGACTGACAGACATCCATTGGTTGCCTCTTGTTTGTACCATGACCAGGATCGAACCAGCAGCCTCAGCATGTGCCCTGACCAGGAATCAAACCAGTGACCCTTCACCTTATGGTGTGATGCCCAACCACCCCAGCCATCCAGCCAGGCCGGGACCACCCTTGGTCTCAGGGTTACCCCTCAGTAAGTGGGAGGAATGACCTCGAATGGTCTGCCACCCAGAGGCATCAGCAAGACACAGCAAAGCGAGTAGTGGAAACCCTTTTCCGAAGTGTGAAGTCAAGGGGGCTGCAGAGATGTGCCGGGTGGCTCATCCTTGCTGTCCCGCACCCGGCCCCGCGACGAGGTACCACTGCAGAGTGTGTGCAGCTGCCCCCGCAATCACTGCTGCTACTCTGTGCCCGGTGCTGGACAGCTGAGGTGGAGGGGATGGGATCAGAGTTAAGCCACAGGCAGAGGACAGGGAGTGGAAGCCTGGGGGCAGTAGGGAGCCACAGTCGGTTCTGGAGCAGGGGAGGGTTTCACTCCAAAGGGACAAGCATTCCTGTGAGGTTTCTTGGGGCCCTCTGTCTGGAAGTCAGAGGTCCTGGATCAGAGCTGGGCCCTCTTACTCCTTGCCCCTGGGTGCTGTGGCCTCCACAGAACTTACTGGGATGCAGGGAAACACTGTGTGCTGGGGGCCAGAGTGGGCTGTCCCAGCCTTTCTCTGTGTCTGGGCATCAAGGATGTAAACATTGTTCCTGGGGTTCCTTCCCATCCTGGGTGAGTTATACCCTCTTGAGCCAGCCAGCTGTTAGCTAGTTGACAAATGTCCCCATTAGACAAGATGCAGTCTGTGTGTGTGTGCATGTGTGTGTGTGTTTATGGCAAGAGATGGGGATGTGGAGATGGGGTCTTGGTTCCCAGGACTTAGGCCTTCTCAGCCGTGAGCAAGGCCTGCCCTAGAGGGAGTTGGGGCTGGACCCATTCCCATCCTTTGAGCCAAAAATCCAGGCTCCAGGGCATGCCAGGGCTTTGGGACGCCTGTGTGTTCTGTGGAGGAGGGCAAGCCTGAGAAGTGCCCACCTCTGCAGTGAAGCCCACACTGACTTCACAGAAGAGGAACGGAAGTCGAGAGCCTTGTCCCTGGCCCATGACGATGTCTCCTCAGCAAGGCCTGGGCCTCCCTCCCTGGGACAATCAGCGCGGCCTCAGAGGTGGGCGGAATGCAGCCGCCCCTGGGCTCCTCCTTTTCCCCACCTTCAGAGTCTTCTGCACGTTCAGCTCCTCTGAGATCAGGCTCCGCTGTCCTGGAGTTGGGGAGGGGGAACAACGTGCCTTCCTGGGAAAATATGCCCGCCCATTTCCACCGCTTACTCCTCACTCTGCTGCTTTGAAAACAGAGGTATCAATTTTATACCCTTAAGTCCACTCACAGAATCATTTCGTGAGTTCTGACACGTATGCAATCGTGTAACGTCCACCACAGTCACGATGTAGAACGTTCTCACTACGCAAACCTCCCCTCTCGCCCCTTGGCGGTGAGTCCCCTCTTGCTCACCCGGGCCCCTGGCGGCCACTGGTCAACCTCCTCTCACTAGAGCTTCGGCTGTTCTGGGGATTTCCCTTGGACAGGAGCAGACAATCATGACCTTTTGCCTCTGGCTTCTTTCCCTCACCCTCATGTTTGTGAGGTGCTTTTGAGTGTGAGTACTGGCAGTTCCTTCCTTTTTCCTGCCCAGGAGCATTGCAGAACGCGTGTGGGTGGCCCAGTGTGAGGAGCCTGGCAGGGGACACCGGGGTGTCCCTGGTTTTTGGCTATTTTCTTCTTCCCCTCCTCCTGCTCCTCCTGGTCGTCCTCTTCCTCCTCCTCCTCCTCCTCATGGTCTTCACCTTCATCTTCGTGTTCTTCTACTTCTTGATTACTTTGTATAAATTTGCTATGCACATTATCGAAAGAGGTTTTGTGTAGAGATCTGCTGTCATTTCTTGGTGGCAAAAACCCAGATATGGAGTTTCTGGGTTGCATGATCAGAGCTCCCCCTTTTGAAAAGATTCCTGCGTGTTCTCACCTTATCACCCTCGGGCGTGGGGGGAGGGCGTTGAGGGGGGATGAGAGGATGAGCTGCGGGCGGGGGAGCCTGCGGTGCCCTGCGCCTCAGCCTCCCATCTGTCTTCAAGGATCCCGGTGTCTTGGGCAAGTTGCTTTCCCTCCTCTGGGTCTGTCTTGGTTTTAGTCCATGTGAGGAGGAAACAGCCTCAGGAGCCTCCCTGCCTGTCCCAGAGGGTGTTCTGTGGGTGCACGGCGGTGGCGAGGGCCGCCTCTGGCCGCTACTCGCGGCCTGCGCTCTACAGGCTGGGGCAGCGGTCACGCGGTGCCCGTGAGACAGAATGTGGCCCCGACGGAGAGGGCTCCCTTGGAGCGCCCCATCTCTCCCCAGCCCCCGGGGCCTGGCCGCAGCCAGTGTCGGCCAACCCTCGGAGGTTCTTCTTGGCCTGGAGCTGGTGGCCGAGAGCTGCTGTGGTCTGGGGGTCTGAGGCCATCCGTTCCCCATAAACACCTCAGAGGGTGCCGGTACACGGAGGAGGGAAAATTAGCAAGGGCACCGTAGCAAAACGGTCTCCACCGCAGTCCAACATGTATGTAGCTCCTTATGTTACAATTATTGAGAGTTAAGAAAACAGTTCCTGGGTTGGACTAGCCTTGATACAAGTTGTAAACAGCCATGAGTGTTTAAACGCTACTGTATTGGACAGCACAGATACAGAACAGTCCCTTCGCTGCAGAAAGCTCTATAGCGCAGCTGATAGAGACCCCAAATCCTACCATTTGGAAGGGTCAGTACCATGAGTCTATCCCTGGTGGGCTTGGGAGAAGGACGCCGAACGTTCTGGTGGGCAGAGGTCTCCATGAGCGAGCTGCCTGCAGTGGACCACGCAGGCGGCTGGATTTGGACCATATGAGACACAACCCGACCGGGACAGGGGACTGGAGGTAGAAGAAGGTGGGCTCCACCCGTGGTTGTGAGGGGCCCCAAGAAGGAGGGGGCTGCATCACGGGGCAGCGTGGGGAAGCGCAGCTGGCTGCACCAGGCACGAGGAGAAATAGAGGGCGACTGGGAAAGGTGGCGCCCCAGCTCGGGGAGGAGGCGGTGACATCCCCTTGGGCCAGCCTCTGCAGGGCCTTCTGCTCCCATCTCCCGGGCGTACCTGTGCTCTTTGCTGGGTCAGGAGTGGGTGAGATGAGGGTGCCCAGGGCCAGGGAGACCATCCAGGGCTTGGCAACTGCAGCCTCCGGGGTCCTCCCCACCCCATACCTGGATCCTCTTTCCTCTCCCCTTTCCCTCTGTCTCTGCCTCTCTGCCTGCGTCTCTGCCTGTCTGTCCTTCTCTCCTTCATGTAAATCTGTGGAGGCCCGAGGGGACCACTTTGATGGGTTGCCCCTCCGCTCTCCCCCGGGGCTTCTCAGTCCGCCTGCGGCACCTCGAGCTGGGCTGACACGCATGTGCCGCCGAGAGTGCCGCCCAGGACAGGGGTTTTCAAAGGAGTCGCCGCCAGTGAGAGGCTGCCCGATGATGCCAACGCCTGTTTGCCTGACCCAGCGTCAAAGGACCCGACCAGCCCTTGGGGGCAGCTTCTGGCCTTGTTATAATAGCGGCTGCTTGATGGAGAATCTAACGTCCCCTTCAACCAGGAGGGAAGGGGCCCTAGTTTGTGGACCTGACCCAGAGGGAAGCAGGCTGGGCAGCGCGCATGCCCTCGTCTAAAGATCAACATGGGAACCCACTTCTCTCCCAGCTTGGCTCCTTCAGGACCCTGAGCCAGAAAAAAGGCGAGGGATCCTGGAAAGATCTTAGAGGTCCCATGTCCTGATCTGACTGCTCTTGAAACCACTAACAGAGGCCCCGATGTGCAAGGCCGGCTTGATCAAGAGCCCACTGGGGCAACATCGGGCCTAAGAAACAGGGTTGCGCACACGCCCATTGCTCCTTCCTTCTCCTGAGGGCGAGTGCGCAAG